CACATGTACCCTAGAACTTAAAGTATAATAATAATAAAAAATTAACCGGTATATTAGAATGGAGGGCTGGGTGGATGGAAGGAATAACAATAAAAAAGGTGTTTTTCATGCCCTGAAAGTATGAATCTTAGAGGAAAAAAAAATGGCCTTTGAGACAGATTTTGCTGACCCTGACAGCATGATAGAGAATCAAAGACTGGAAGTTTCCATGAGTCAATAAGATCAAACCAGCAAACACACATTTATGAACTAGGTTTTCTGTTTTTGAGAAATCCCACAGAGAAGCCTTTAGCAGGTATAAAAATCTCTCCAATGGAACAGGCTCACCGCAGCCTCCACCTCCCAGGTTTAACCAATTCTCCTGCCTCAGCCTCCCAAGTAGCTGGGATTACAGACATGTGCCACCACGTCTGGCTAATTTGTATTTTTAGTAGAGATGGGGTTTCTCCATGTTGGTTGGGCTGGTCTCGAACTCCCAACCTCAGGTGATCTGCCCACCTCGGCCTCCCAAAGTGCTGGGATTACAGGCGTGAGCCACTGCGCCCAGCCCCACCTTTTCTTTTACTCCAAGACCTTGGCAGTTTCTGCTCTTACAGCTTTTTCCTATATGAAGGTAACTTTCCTTGGAAAACTCAACATATCTGCTACTCTGGGCATAATATTAGCAGAAATCTTGGGCTCAGCTTTCAATAAATGAAGAGAAGGGCTATGCATCCATATGGAGTTTTAGTAACGATTTCATAAAATTCAACAGAAAGCACTTGTTGGATATTTCATAATTGTCCATTTTTATATTTGGTAATCTTTCTTATGCATCCTCTGTCACAGAGGATGCTGTTCTAAAAACCTTTCATTATTGCAGTTTAATTAAACAAGTTAAATTTAGATACACAAATGAAGGCTGCCCTCTTATTTACATTTTGAGAGCTTAATGATCCTTTTATAGCTTCAGAACCTTGGGGAAATAGCCTCATTTTTCATACTTAAGTACACATCCCACTTCCTGATCAGCAGGTTTCAGGGTAAACACTATTCATGAATAACAGTCAATGTACACAAAAGTAAGCAGGAAGAGAATATCTAGATTCCTTCTTAACATTTCCACAGGAGATTTAAATGGTTTAAGATGCTTTTATAAATTGCTTCCCTATTTCAAACGTGGCAATGGCAAACATTTCACATTTACCATGCGGCTGGACTTGCACTAAAAGCTTTTTATATGGATTGTATTTTTATTCTCTAATTAGCACAACTACACTATGAGCTCGGTATCACTTATCATTTCATCTACAGAGAGCAAACAAGAGGCCGGGACAGGCATCCGAGGCAACACCATTGGGCAGAGTAGAGCCGGGTTCACAGCTAAGCAGTACGACTTCGGAGCCCATTTTTCTCTCCCACCAAGCTCAAATGCCTTCGTCATTACATTGTTCTTTGGCTACGATCTGTTGTTGTTGTTTTTCCTTTCCTGGTTTTGGAAGGGACCACAGTGTTTCCATGTTGCATCCTATCTGGACAGTCCTGCTGTGTCTTTTTATTTTGGCTTCCAGACACTCTCAGTGAACACCCTTCACTCGTGCCGAACTTGGTGGTGTATGCCTATTATTCAGGAATTACATTTTCACTCATCCTGACTCTCATTCAAAAACTGGTTCTTGTGAGGTTGTTAGTATCAACAACCTCAATCCCTGGCAGCCCTCTCTTCCTCAAGACCCTCTGCTCCTTGTCTCCTCTTTCCCCTAGTTCCATCAGCAGGGGTAGTGGCTTGACACCTCCCCTCTCTTCCTTCACATGGCAAAGGGCTAACAAGCCTCTTACACACCAATCCTGCTTCTTGCTACTTTCAGAAACAACACTGTCTTTTGGAAAGTGAACCTGCAAATAATGAAAGAGCTCACAGGGCTCTCTTAAAATTCAATTAAAAACAAATGCCGATAAAACAAACACAGAGTATCCATATAAATGTGTAAAGGAAAGTATTCTTTCCATCTATATCAATACATATTTTTAAAGTGACTTGTATTGTAATGAGAGGTCAGCTGATCGGCTGCTGCTTTCTGACAGTCACATAAAAATTTTCTACATGCTCAAAAATAATTTTCTCTTAATTTTCATTCTTTAATGCCACATGATACCATAAAAAACACATGTATCTGCTAATATAAGTACTCTCCATGAGTGCTGATAATTAGCCTTTTTCTCCATCATTTGAGAACTCAGAAAATCATTCCTCTTTGTGGTTTGAATGTATACTCTTATCAGAACATACAAATCCTGTAGATATTCTTTTCAAGAAATGGAAGGGAAATTATTCTAAGCATATTAAAGTTCAGCTTTGAAATGATAATGTTTCCAAAAGCCAAAGGCATATGCCAGGCATTCAAGAAGCCAAGTTTTCTGTTGGACATATTTTTGGGAGTGCTGGAAGGCACACATTACTCCGGGCTGCAATACAGATCGAAAAGAGAAGGCTTTTCAATGATCATTACAAAAGGCATTCTTCAGGGTTTTGAAGATGCGGAGGGGATTTAATCTATAAACATCTCTCTAAATCTCCTACGTGGTTTCTTAAAAACTAGTTTTTTAAATCAAATGCTTTTCAATTAATCGTAGGCAAATTAGACCAAGAAAGCAATACGCCTGGGTAGAGCAGGGTAAGGGGAACCAGTACTGTTATTTACATGGTTAAGGCCTCAAGTGAAACAAACGTAAGCATGCAGGGCTCTGAGACACAGGGCACTACAACTAAGGATGGCGCACCACACAGCATGCTTCCCACAGATCAATTCCTTAGCGGAAATTCCCCTGGTAGTAATCAGAGAAGGGTTCACTCCAGTGCTGGGGCTTAGTTCCACCCCAGTATTTATCCCAGTTAGAGATAAAGCAGCTGTGAACAGGAGGCACAGACACAAGCAGTACTCACCTCCGCGATCTTCAGCACGGCACTCCCATTCAGATCAAATGTCGGTGTGTAGGTGATGCACAGTAAAACCTTTAACAAGGTGAGAGATGAAAGAAGAGACAAGGGGTTAACAGTATGAAAATTCACTGTTGTTTCATATGCCATTTGTGTAGTCCTGTTTTTATGATTCCTTTGCTATTTGCTTTATCTAATGTTTCTTTATATCCCACCCACTGCTTTCTCATTAGCGGCCGCACATTGCCTAATAAAGTAGAGACCATCCTTTAAAAAATAAAGGCTGCTAATCTCTCCCTGTGGAAAGGACTTGCAAGACTGGCCAGAAACAGTGTCTTTTAACAGCTCCAGGAGGTGTGTCTAGTAACAGCAAAAACCACAAAAGAGTTGTTTAGTAGCAGTCATTTTAAAAATGCCAGGCTTAATGCTAGGCACTTCACATGAATTATCTAGGTTGATCTTCTAAATAAGTGTTATTATTATTATTGCCCCCATTTTACTGGTGAGCAAACCAAAATTCCATGATTAAATATGTTACCTAAGGTCATACAGGTAGCAAGTTGTTGAACGCAAGTAATCTGCCTCCATGTGCCCACTCACTAGGCAAAGCCATCTCCACCTCTTCTGGGACTCAAAGGTCAGTGTCATTTTCTATTCCTATCCCCTTCCCAAATCCACATGGAATTAGAAACTCTTTAATGGCATTGTCCTCTTCCCTCTTGCAATTTCTTCCAGAATGCTGCATGGGGTTTACTTACTCCCCTTAGTTTCCAAGATACATAGACAATGGGTCGATGACATTTGCAAGATCTTTCAGGACCACTAAAAACTTCACTTTCTACTTGTAGAGCCTTTAGGGAACAGATCAATAAAAGCCTGTGGCATTTTAAGAATTGCTTCTCAATTTGTGGGTAAGAGGCTACTCTCTCCCTCTTCACTTAGCTCTGACTTTTCTTGCTGCAGAAGACAGACACAAGAGTGCTGGTGTCTGCTCCTTTATCTCAAACCCCACAGCCATGCCCTGCCCGCAGCTTAGCCTGCCAGGGGCAGTCTTCTGAACATTTTTCTCATCTGTTCAATTCATGAAGGAGCATGGAAGCCTAGCAAATTTACTTAATACAGGAAACTGCAATTGTCAGATGTGACAGGAAATCTCTGCCCATCTCTCAGTCTTAGCTGTCAGCTAGGCCAGTCCTAGGAACAGTT